TCTTCTCTACGCAGAATATATACTGATAAAAAGAAATATTAGAAAATCTATTTATGATATATAAAATTTATTTCAAAGAAATAAATTTGACTTTTATTCGTGAGATACAAAGTTTATATCTGTAAAATAAAATTTACTTATCTGAAAAATAGAAAATTTATCTTAAATTCTGAAATAATCTTAAATTCTGTGAGAAAACTTTATTTCACAGAAATAAACTCTATGTCCCACAAATAAATGTTTCATATTTTCTTCTCAGTGTAAGATATTAGAAAAAAGCTGATATGCAATGTCATGTGAAGTTGAATGCGATAATTTTCCGAATATTTACCGAATACGCGCGCTCTGCCAGAGCCACGCGATCGTCTGAAGAAGAACGTCTGAAAGAGGTCGATAATATTACAGAACGTTCGCCCGGATGTCGTTTGCATTTTTGTGCCATTCTGGCCCGCTGTTTCATTTGCCCTAACGAGCGCCGATTTCGTCGGAATGCACAGGGACTTGGTAAACAGCGCCTGTGCATCGCCGTTAGGAAATTGCCCACTGCTCGATACGTATCTTGCAAATGGAACCACAATCTAGCATGGACATAGAATGGCGAGTATTTCGGAAAGCTGGTCAGCCTCACCGGCATCTGCTGATTTAAGCTGCGGCCGCTGCCCGCTTCAATTAGGAATTGCCCGGAATCCTACGACTCGGAAACGAATATTCGTTGACCTCTCTCTCTCTCGCCCTCTCTCTGCCAACCGTATAGGCGACCGACATTCCGTTTATCGCTGTTGATATCGACATGAATCCTCTCACTCTTAGATATTTGCACCATGAGGTGTTTCGACGTTTCGATGTATTGGATTGATCCATAAGTTTGTGCGGATTTTTGCCTAAAAGGTATTTGTATGTTGGTGTTAGGAAGATAGTTACATAGTTAGCCATCTACGTGCATGCTTTGATAGCTGACATTTCGAAGCATAATTTGTGATGCAAACGATAGTGTTTAAAGAATTAGTGTTTTAAGAAGTACAGCTACCTTTATTGAGGCTTGAACATGGTAGATAATAGTGAATTTTTCCGGTGCATTGTGCTTTCTCATTTTCGTAAAAATTGTTAAAGTTTGGCTAGAGTGTTTTGCCTTACCCATCATATTCGCCCAACATTGTCGCTTTCGATTACTATTTGTTTCGCTTATTACAAAACTTCTTTGATAGCTTTTTTTTAGAAGATGTAAAAAATTACTTAGTTGCTTTACGAGAGGGGAATTATGAAATTACGTGAAAAATGGCAAAAGATTGTCAAATAGAATGGCGTATACATTGATAAAAATTGATTTTTAACAAGAACAGAGTGCATTTCAATTTTGTTTAAAAATTCGCAAGAACTTATGGATCAACCCAACACTTTAAGTCTCTCAAGTATACCATTCCAATCTCAAATCACAGCCACGATGGTTCGGTAATGCGCAATTTTCACACATGGAAAATGTAACGTTCAATCAAATAGTCATGAATGTGATGAATAATTTCGCGGTTTTCGGCGGAGAATATCGACCCGTTTAACTGACTCGTCTGTCGCTAAGCTCGTCTCTTTCTGTCGCGCTTCCCGTTCTCGAACGTCTAATTCCCCAATTCCCGTCGAAATGTAACTTCCACTTTCCGCGGCGGAAGATCAGCCGGTAGTTCCCTCCGAAATAGAGCGGCGCTATTGGTCTTTACGCTTTGTTAAACGTTCGTTCTATTCGCTCTACATCGGGGTTAGCAAAATACGTTAGACTTGTTAAAATCTAGCTTAATGAGCTGCCTAGCAAGAACTTTCCCGGGCGCTTAGTTTTGGAACCAGCCCGGAAATTAGTTGTACAGCGGTGTACGCGGCAGTCTCATCGGGAAACGGCGTGCCGACCGCCACCGCCATATCGCTTAACTACTGAAACGAAGTATTCGCCATCCTCGACTGTTTCCTAGCGCTTTGTATCACGATTCGCGAGAATAGTTGCGAGGATAGTCTCGCATGCACGATCGTGTTCGCCGGCATCCAAAACGTAAAAGCGACGTCGCTGTTAGCTCTTCTTTAAATTTCCGCCTCACGAGTATTACGCCGTCACCAACAGCATTAAACTGCCCGGAACAAATTATGCTGATTAATAGCGGACGCGACACCGCTGAACGAAACGACGGAGTAGCCGAAAACACGCGCGTTTGCCGGGGCCGGGGATCTGGAAAAGCTGAGGGTGTATAACCTAACCTAACGAGACTGGCGGCTAACGCAAGATAAGGCTCGAACCCTTACTTAACCCCGCCGTATCACAGGCACAAAGGAAGAGAAATTGCCTGTGTATCATAGAGGAATGGTTATAGAGCCAGCCGAGCATTGCCACTGCGACTGTTATTTAACTGCTGTTACTAATAGTACTCAGGACAATAGTTATGACGCGGTAGATAGGCATTCTTCTTGTTAAGAGCGATTTAGCCCCGCTTTATCAGAAGTACAAAGGAAGAAAAATCACCTATACTATAAGAACCAGTACTATAAGAAAGTGATTATAAAGCCAACCGAGCGTTGCCACCGTGACTGTTATTTATTTAACTACTAATAATACTCAAAGACGATGGTTATTAGACGCGAGAGAAGCTCATTTGTTTTTTGTTAAACGCGATTTAATCCTGCTGTATCAGAGATACAAAGAAAGAGAAATCTGAATACTGTAAGAAAATGATTACTATAGAGTGAGCCGAGCATTGAGTTATTTAACTACTGATAGTACACTGAGAGGAAAAACATGTAAAAACTAGTAAATATCTATTTGATGGGTACTAAAAGCGCATATTTTAGTTAGATCTAAATTCGTACTTAAATGGAATAAATAAATGCTCTCACGAAAAATTAAGAGTTTTCCTAAAGTTTTAAGAAAACTTATGTTTCTTTATTTGAAAAATATTTTATATTAGTATAAGTAAATATATGCTGTGTGTTAGTATGTGTGCACATACCAAATACATATTTACTATTTCTTAGATATTTTCCTCTCAATACTCACCACAATAGTTATGACACGGTCGATGATTATTCTTTTTATTAAACGCAATTTAACCTCGCTATACAAAAGAGAAGAAATCATCTATGCATTATAAGGAAGCGATTGTAGAGCCACTGTGCGTACACAGAAAAATATATACTGCAAGCGAATATTACTTATTTTACGTATTTTGTAATTTTATATGCCCGAAAATGTGTCATAAGTTTATCATAAACATCACATTTATTCAAAATACATTCTGAATCCTAGTAAGTTTAGTAATCAAGATTATTACATTAAAACAGAAATTCAGTTTGCTTCTTATAAAGAGTTGAACTAACTTTTTCTTCGATAAAGTTTGATGATATTCTTGTAAAGAAAATAAATTCTTTTGAGTACTTGATAATGAGCTTTTTTCAAATTTATGATGAGTGATATTTTGAGTCTAGAAATACTTACTAAAGAAATACTAAAGGAATTTATATGAAGTAATCGCTTTTCTTAGCAGTAAAATTATATTTTTCTCTGTGTGATTTAACTGTTTCTGTTTCTGTTTTCTGTCTCTATGTGTTTCTTTGTTTATGCTGCAATTCTAAGCAAATATACGAGTAAATCATAACATCGTAAAGTCGTAGCTTACGAAAAAAACAAAAAAAAATCGTAGATATTTATGAGTTATCATATGATATACGGTTCGCATAGAATTACAGATCTATTCATAAGTTCTTACGAGTCTTACGAAAACAAGTTACGAGTTTTATGATTTTGTCTAGAACTGCAGTATTAGTTTAACTGCTAATAGTCCTCACGATAATAGTTATAACGCGATCGACAGTAATCAGTAATTCTTTCTATTGAACGCGATTTAGACGTAGAAAAGAAGCAAAAGGATAATACAATACTGAGAAAAAAAGTAATTGAGTTAATAAAACATTGCTTAAACGAACAAAATATGTTCAAGCAAACGTTTAGTCGATTAAACAAATTATATAGTCGCTGTGATGAGCTACATATCAATTAATCATTACACTAACGCGTAATTTGTTCAATAGATGCAATATTTCTTTGAAGATAGATGATCGTCAATTTTACCAATCCAACTGTTTTTTTTTCTAACTGAAGAAACTGGTTATACAGCCAACAGAATATTGCCACTGTGACTGGTTAACTCTCCTGTTACTAGTAATAGTCGCACGACTAAATTATGTCGCGGTTGATAGTAATTACTTTTTATTTTGAGAATCCAGAGAATCGAGAGATTGACATGAATCCAAGCATGGGATCGTCTGGTGAATCTGAGAATTCCAGGGGAGAATTCTGGATTGCGTTTAATTCGCGTCGTCTGCACGTCTATAGACAGCCGGTGTTCTCTCGGCATTTTGCAACCCGTCGCAGCGAATAAATTTCGCGTCGAATCGCACCGGATCGTCCGGCTGTGTTTTGCTGAAACGTCGCGCAAAAATTCGATAATACCCGCTGGCATTTATGCCTGAGCGTTCCGCTCGGCGATGGATGCTCCGTGAAAGCCGACGTCGTGGTATGCAGCCGGCCGTCATTGGAATATCAATGACCGGCCGGCATTCTTCGCGTAACTGGCCGTAATTAGACCTTACGTGAGTGTCTCGGTACGAACGGGAGAAATGAAGTCGTCCTTTTGTTACATCGCAACCTGAAAATGCGGATTCATAACGCGAACAAGAGTCGACAGGCGTGCGTTCGCGCCACAAAGCGTGTCTGTCGGGAAGATAACATTGCGGATAGTGAAACTCGTAAAAATCGCGACGTTTGTTAGGCGCATAAAGTCGGAAGCTGAGCCGCCGTCACGTCGACGCGCCAATTATTTATAAATCGTCGATAACCGAGGGCTTTCGGGGGTGAATCGAGATTCTCGAATGCTTCGAGCCCGCTATCCACGCCAACAATGCCGCAGCTACGATCGCGCTGTCGCCACCGAAAGGGTTGATAAATAAAGAGACAAACGCGTTTTCCACAGCTTGCCCGGAATCGCGAGCGGAATGGATGGAACTGGGCGGCGGAGGTGGCGCAGTGTGCTATGCGCCGTCACGTCTGGGCAAACTCGTTTTGCGTGTCACCGGGTTTCCCAGGGTCACTCAACAGTGCCATATGAGCCAACACCCGGAGGAGAGTCACCATCGCGATACCAGGCATCTGTATCTGGGCTTTCATCATCCCTGGGATCGGGATCTCTGGAAGAGCTGGATCAAAGAGGTGAGTGACCCGCCGGCTCTATTCTTCCACGTGAAACTGAGAGAGAACCTCTCTCTCTCTTCCTCTTGGCACGGCTTTTAATCTCTCTGACGAAGTAATAAGCGATTGGATATACGTTTGTTAGAAAACGCAAAAAGAGGGAATAAATAATTCTGTCTCGTTGACGGAACAGTCGAAACAGTTGGATCAGCGGGACGATGTTGCACTGAGAAGAAAGCACTTGGACATTTTTATTTATAGGATGTAAAGTCTATTTCCGCGCGTGTGTGTGTGTGTGTGTGTGTGTGTGTGTGTGTGTGTGTGTGTGTGTGTGTGTGTGTGTGTGTGTGTGTGTGTGTGTGTGTGATGAATAAACTTTATATGTAGCAGATAAATGTTTAAGTATTCTTTTCTCAGTTTATGGTTTTGTCATCATGAAATGAATAGCCGTCGACAGAAGCTTTAGAAAACGAATCCTGGTAATTAAATTCAATTTGTTGTTAATAGTGCTTCGCATTCTCTCCCTCTCTCCCGGCTGAGTCGGGCGATTCTATCATTTTGTGTGATTTTAATTGCGGCGGAATTGTAATACCGATATCAATCATAAATCACAGCAAAATATTGTTAATTTTTTTAATGGCACACGAGGGTGTAATCCTTGTGTTAGTTTTTTTATATCCTTTGCAGTTCTGAGAATAATACTACTGGCATATCAATGCCCTTTATATTGAAGAAAAGATACTTGAAAATTTATTTGTGAGATATAAGATTTGTTCCTGTGAATAAACTTCATACTCCACAAATAAATGTTCAAGTATTTCTTTCAAGTATTTTATAATCGTGGAATTAACAGTTGTCGTGAAAGCTTTAAAAAACGAACCTCGTTAACTAAAATTGATTTGTTGTTAGTTATTCTTTGTGCAGCTTTTCTTCTTTGCCTCTCTCTCTTTCTTTCTCTTCCCCGGCTGAATCGGGTGAATCGATTATTTTGTGTGATTTCAATTGTGGCGGAATCTCAACGCGAATATCAATTTAACGATACAGCAGGATATTGTTTTGTTTTCTAATGACACGCGCGCGTGGAAATTTTATCCGTGTATTATTTTCTTCTTCACTTGAAATTCCGAGAATAATAATACTGACATATCAGTATCCTTTATACCGAGAAAAAATACTTGAAAATTTACTTTTGGGTTTGTTTTTGTAAATAAACTTTCTATTTCACAAATAAATGTAAAAGTATCTTTTTTTTTGTCAGTATACGTCACACTTTTATCGAGTCGAGACATCCTCCGCTGTCGACGGTGATCGACATTATCGCAATTTGGCGCATCGTTCGTCTCGACGCATTTAACGGGGGGACACTTAATCCCACGGCGGCGATAAACCTTCGTGCTGTGAGCCATAAATAAACACGGGAAGGGACTCGCGGTGGCTCGAAGTAAGAAAAGGGAAATCTATTTTCCAAGAGACAGGCAGGTGCGCGCGCGCGCAGAGCCATCGACGTAGTCAGTGTTTGCCCGACAATCGCAGTCGCCGCAAAGTTTAAGCTACCGGTAGTTGAGACCGATTCTTGGGAGTTCTCTTTGGGCATACGTAACTCCACGAGGAATGAATGGTTCTCATGCAGCGAGTCCGGGCCGGCTGAATTTTGCATTACGTCTTGGAAATAAGCGAGACTGACGTGTTCGGCGCGAATGCATGGCGCCACATGACGTAATATTTAAAATGCATAGGATGCATTTATGTATCAACGAGAACGAGGGGGAGGAGAAAAGAAGAAAGAAAGGATGGGTTTTATCTCTTAAGGATCCGCGTGAATAACTTGGGCTCGTGAAAGGATCCCAGAGTGGAAACGCCGCGACGGATAGCCCGATAACCAGCGGAAGGAGCTCCCGCGCGCGTTTACGCAAATAGGTCGTGTAACGGGCGGCGGATATAATATTCTGATGCGTGTGCCAACCGCGTCCATAGAGGAAGGAATAGATGGAACGTCAATGGGAGCTCGCGGGAACGGCGGCTGCAACCGCGGAGAATTATGCCAGGCGGGGAGAGACGGGGACGGCCCGATAATGTCGTTACACGGGTGTCGGACAGCAGCGTGGTGAATTAGAGCCGTGCATTGTCGCGTTCGCGGCCTCATGCAAATGAGGACAAACATAGGCGTTTTGATGGGCTTTAATGGAATCACCGGCGAACAAAAAGGACGACAGAAGACAGGCTTTTCCCGTCGTCGTGTCCGATGAGCGACGCTCGTCCCGCGAACATGTGACGTTTCGAAACGCTGTCCTTCTCCTCTTTCTCCTCTTCCTGCCGCGGTGTTTCGTGTCCCCCTGCGTGATTACTTCACCACGACAGTCAGGCATGACATGTAATACAGTTACACGTTTGGAGGCCGTTTGTGCGATTATGTGCGTGTGCACGGTGGAGAAGAGAATTTAGAGAGGTTTCCAACGGGGGAGGCTCTGCTCATTCGCGTCACCGGTTTACTCTCCGCGCGTGATGACAAATAGCCGTCTAATTTTCAATATCGCGGCAGGACGGTCGATTCTGCAAAGTGCCCGACGGCGCGATTAATACGCTTGCGAAATCAAAGGGAAACCGCTTTTCTCGCAGAGCCGACAACACCGCGGCTGAAATGAACAGTGACAGCTGTGGGAGAAGAGAGAAAAAGAGAGAAAGATGATGTTTGGATGTTTGGGGGTTGAAAAAGAAAGTGGGAAGGTGGGAGTTCAAAATGACGCAAACATTGGCCCATAGGCAAATTCTGAATATGAAAATGACGATGAGCAAACTTTAATATCCAAATGCAGCGAAGGGGTACATAAAGGCGTGGTAGGAGCGAAAGGACAAGGGGAAAGAAATGGGAACAAACGCTGTTTGCGTGCCGTCACGATCGGACGATTGCCAGCATATCCGACCGCTATATTATCGGCGATTCAAATCGATCTCACGGTATTTGCTGACGCGACGCAAGATTTCGACGACGCGAGTCGACGCGAGTGGGTTGAGCGTCTTATCCCTACACGGAGAGAATAGTAAAGATTTTGCTATTGAATTTCGTAGCCGAGGAAAGCTCAATTTTCCGCAGTAATTGATTGTTTTTTCATCTTTTATATGTGTTATTTATATTTTAGGAAGTGAAATGTGCTATTAAAAGATTTACTATGTTCTTGGCCACATTCATTACTCAGCAAAGCAGACTCTCCCGGCTAGAAGTTTATCTCATGGTGCTGATCAAGTTGGTGCTAATCAGTTACTAAGTTTGCATGAAGTGATGCTATCGCGTTCTGTAACGCAGCATGTCAATTAGAACCTTATTGATCACTTTTAGTGGTGATTTAAAATGAGACTACACGATTCCTTCAAGGGACTTTTTTTTATATAAGTATGTTTAGATTTCTTTTCTCTTTGTTGCTATTTTCTCTAAAGCATTTTGAAAAATAAAATAGAAAATATATCTAATTAGTATTTTGTTACGAATTAAAAAAGAAAATGCAATAGTCTAAGAGTGAAAGGAATTGAATATGTTATCGCAAAACTTTTCCAGACATCACTCTTAAAGGATTAATAAGAATTATTAATAATTAGGACTTTATTAGTAATTAAGACAAACAACCTGGAATCAACCTAATCAGAACCATGAGATAAATTTCCAGTCTAATTGCCGACAGTCTACACAGATACAGAAAAATATTATTTTACTGTTAAGAAAAGCGGTTATTTAGTCTACTTTCCTTTCTTGAAATAATGATTATCTTTAGTAAAGAACATTTTTTTAACCGTCTTAAAATATGCTAATCGGAAATTTCAGAGAAACTCATTATCATGTGCTCAAAATAATGTATTCCCATTACAAAAATATCATGGAACTTTATCGAAGAAACATTGATTCGACTTTACATAATGAGTAAAGTTTTGTAAAGTTTCTAATTTAATATTCTTGATTAAAATGCCAAACTTATTAGAGGATGCAGGATATATTTTGGATGAATTTAACGCTTGAAAGAAAGATATAAACTTATAAAATGTTTAAAACAAATAAAATTTGATCACTAGAACACCACTAGAAAAATATAGTAAAATTGAAAGAAATTTATACGAAAGAAAAACCGTGACGTTGTTCTTGCATTGGCACTTGGCCGTCAACTTATCTTCTCAAGCTACATAATATATTCAGAAACGCGTTCCAACAGGTAATTGCAAAGAGATTCAGCGGGCGATCGGAGAAACCCGCGATCTCTCGTTCTCGCAGTGTTCTGAGCGAACGGCCCTTTACGAGCCGTTTCGGCGAGAATCCAGCGCGCGTTGCGAGAATAACTCGGCAACTATTTTTCTCCCATTCCCGCCGCCTCTGTCGAGCTCTTTTCATCTGGAGAGACAGCAATTTACGAGAAGTTTAACATATTACGCGATGAGAGAAGCACGCCGCCACGCGATATGCCGCGACGAGTGAGCGAGCGAGTCGCGTCGGGAATTCGCAGCGCGAATTGAACAGTGCTGCTGAAGTGAACGTGACGCGGCCCGAAACGCGAGATCATGATTCGGATAAACACGTCGCTAAATATTCAGCGATCAGTTGTGCAAATACGGGAGACAGGTCCGCTCCTCCCTCCCACCGTTTGCCTTGAATTATTCAACGCGCGTAGTATTTTGCCGCTTTTCTCCGCGGTGCAAATGCATCACCGCCTCCATTGGCGGCGTCGACGCCGCCAAGCACTGTTATTGCATTTACTAGGACGCGCGGCGATCGCGCTTAATCCGTCCATTCGATTTTCCGCGAGCCATTATCGCGTCGCAAATGGCGAGTGAGATCTGCGGGACGGCTGTCGTCGAAACTTCCTCTGGGATCTCTCGTTTTCTTCTTCCGCCGTTGTCCGTCTCGTCGCGTCTCTGTCACTCTCGCTAGCTAAAAGATGCTAAAAGGATTCGCATAAGTTTGCGTGGCCAGATCAGTCTCACACCGTGACTGCTTCTTCGTTATGTTTTGTTATCAGTTGCACTTTTTTCACGAATGTAGC